TTTTTTTTTGAACAAAATGATTGATATAAACAATCATATTTCACTGAAATTATGAAAGAGAGAAGTTATATTTACTATTGTTTGAAGAAAAAAATAATTGTAAAATATTAAATAAAGATCGGCTACTCTAGTTAATTTAGACAACAGATCTCGAGTTTAAAAAGTACATTATTACACAGATCAATGAACTTTTGAATGTAACAACAGATGCGCCATCTTAAAATTTATTTTTTCTCATAATATTGATGCGCATTTGCTTAATCTTCAGAGAGAAAAAAAAAACTCAATTATTGATTGACGGCATGTCAATAGTAATTATAACGTTGACTATTTAACGAAGCATACGTTCCATATTGAAGACATCGCAATCACTTTATGTGATTTTTTTATTCCAAGGAAACAGATTTGCATTTAAAAGTTTCAAGGTATTTATTAAAATAAAAGATACTTATTAAAAAAGCATTTGAATAGAGGGGAATGAAGGATTTCTTAAACAAACATTCAGACGAAATAATAAAATTTCAAGTTAGGGGGTCATTAACTTTCAAAGGTCATATAAATACAAAAGACATGATTGTTTATTGTCTAGATGTTTTTTTTATATTCAAGGAGACAAAAAAACGAATGATCATTTTCATTTTTTTATTAGAAATTATCAAACAACATTTTTATTCAATAAAAACAAAACAGTTTGTGTTATGGCAACAAAAAAACTTATAATAATTAGAATATAATTCAAATAAACAAAAATAACAAAATGAGAATGTGTAATATATATGAAAAAAACTATGTTAGTTATAGGAAAAAAAGAGATTAAAATGTTTCTCTTGACTAGTTGAATATATTTTAGGAGAAAAAATATTCTTAAGCTTATTATCTTATTTCTATTTTGGTTTTAAAAATTTTCGTATATATCGATCATTTTGACAAGCTATTGCAAATTGATCTTTTCCTAAATATCCTAATTGATCACAGTTGGCTTTTGAAAATAATTCGTAAACTTTTGTATCAATTCTTGATGGATCACTTATATCAACATTCATCAATTCATAAATCGACTAAAACGAACACATATATATACAATACAATTATTTGCATGTTTGATAAGAGTATAAAGAAAGTTTATACCTGAATGGCAGATCGCATTTCATTTTCATCAATAAGACCATTATGATCGATATCATACATAGCAAAAAAAAGTTGTAGTTTTCGTACAGGATCTTTCGATGAATTTAAACTAACAGCAAAAAGATATTCCATAAAATCTATTAAAATAAAAGATTTTATATATTAGAATATTTTTAGTAAAATATACCCATATATCCTGAACCATCTTTATTAAATAAACGAAATGCATGATCACAAAATTTTTCCACGTTACCTTTTGTATAAAATTTTTGATATACATCAATAACTTTACTTTTTGGCAATTTACCATCTGGACAATCATGCTAATTAAATAATACATAGTATCCTTTTTTTCTAATTATTTATATATATATACATACGAGGAAATCTTCGTACCATGTGATGATTTCTTCTCGACTAAATCCTGTTTTCTTGATTAAATACATAATGTCATCATGACTAAGTTCATTTGTTGAGATTTTTCGTCGTCGATGATTGAGTTTCTTTTTACGTGATTTGACTTTAAAATTCAGATTGCTGTCTACATCGGATACAAGTTCAGATATTTCACTCGTTTCCGAACAAACAGATTGTTGATCATAACTTATTTGTATATTCTTGTTAATATATTTGAATATTTCTTTATCATCATGCTCATATTTATCAACTGATTTCCATGTGCGAAAATAACGAACACCAATAAAGTATAACGACGGTAACAGAGTAAACATAATGAATAAAAGAAAAAGTTTCAATAATGTTACATTTTTATGAAGCAAAAAATGAAATTTGTCGATTTTGTTGTTCTTTCGAGTATTGTCTTGTTTGGTAACACACGAGAAAAAAAAAGAGAGAGAAAGTTTATTCTACAGACAGTTTGCAATCTATAAAGTTCTTTTTTTT